CTTTCTTTCTTTCTTTCTTTCTTTCTTTCTTTCTTTCTTTCTTTCTTTCTTTCTTTCTTTCTTTCTTTCAAGAGCAGATTTGGTTTCTCAGGTATGCCTCCCTTGGGCAAGTTTAAAATATCTGTGCTCCTGAGAATACCCAGCAGGGGGAGGCCGCTGAGGTGTGCTGAGCAGAGGAAGAAAATGGACCAAGGATTTGAAGTATCCTGGCAATAGTTCCCCAAGTGGGTAATAGTAATCATGATAGCTCCTGTGAACTGAACACTTAACTGAGTGTTGTGTAATGCGCTATATACTTTCTACATATTCACTGAATCCTTGCCACAGGCATATGATGTAGAAGCTACTTTTTCATTTATTTATTTATTTATTTTGAGATGGGATTTTGCTAGGTTCTTGCCTAGGCTAGTCTCAAACTCCTGGACTCAAGCAATCCTCAGCCTGCTGCTGAGAATACAGGCCCATGCCACCGTGCCCAGCTTAGAACTACTATTATCCCCCTTACATATGAAGAAATGGAGGACCAAAGAAATTAAGGCTTGGACAAAGTCCCCTTTCCTCACATGGTAAGAAGCGGAACAATGTAGTCTGCTCTGATTGCCAATAACAAAACACCACAGACGGAGGGGCTTAAACAGCAGAAATTTATTTTCTTACAGTTCAAGAAGCTAAAAGTCCAAGATCAAGATGCCTTCAGGGTTAGTTTTTCTTTCTGGCTTGTAAATTTCCTGGCTTTGTCATTGTGTCCTCACATGATCCTTTCTCTGTATGCACCTGGAAGGGGCAGTGAAATCTGGTCTCTCTCTCTCTTTTCACAAGGACACCAGGCCTAGCCAATTAGGCCTCCACTCCTAAGACCTGGTTCAACCTTGGTTACTGCTTTAACAAACCCTATCTCCAAATAGTGAGATGGGGGGTTAGAGCTTCAACATAAGAATTTGAAGGTAACATAATTCAGTCCGTAACAAACAAGGATTTGACTCTTCAGGCTGATCCCCCCCCCCACCCCCGCAGCCACTCAACAGCTAATGGGGAGGGGGAGWTGTATGCCTGCCAGATTGTGTTTCCCTGTTTTTGTACATACAGACAACAGTGACCATACAGTTTGTGTCCCCTATCTAACCTGCCATCATCTTTCCTGATGAGCAATCTTCAGCTGGAAAGCTTGCCTAGGGAGGACCCTCAATCCCTCTCATAGGGGCCTACCAGCTCTAGCAAGTGTCATTTCACCAGCTCCAAAGGAGAGTGAGCAGTGATTGCTGCTAATTAGCAGCAATTAGCTGTGGCACCAAAGGAAAGTGGGKGGGGGGGGTCTTTATGGCTAAATGAAGAGGCAATTAGTAGACAAGAAAAGAGATAAATGCTGGCCTGATTCTTACTTCCTCAATCATTGCAGTTGTTTTTCAGTCCTTGAAAGCGTCATTGCCCCATAAGAGTGACAGTTATCTCCTGACAGGCCGTGTCTCTCAGCATCAGTTGGGAGCTAGAGAAGAGCTCTGTTCTTACAGGCAGAAGATCTTGGTTCCAGCTCTGCTGTGCCTGGATTCCCTGTGTATCCCTGGGTGAGTCTTCTCATTCTCTTATACATCAAACAGGTTCAATGGTTTCAACTAGATTACTGCATTCCTCAAATGCAGGTTGAAAGTCAGTTGAGGATGATGATATAAACGTAAGGACCCAAGTCCAGCATTAAAACTGGCATAAAAAAAAAAAAAACTAACATAAGATACAACTGACAGTATCAGTATCAGAAAATGAAGGACAAGTTGGGTTTTAGTTAAACTTTTTCCTTTACTGAAATGTGTACATGAATGCATGCTGCGGCATGTGGGGGAGCCTGTACATACTGGGCTACAATGTAAAAAGTACTTCCTGCTGTGAGCTGTGGTTCAAAAAGTCGAGACTTACAGCAATAAATGTTCCCTGAGGGTTATTCCTGCCCTGTGGTCCAAGAATTTGCTTCCTTGAGGTTGGGCTGCGTTTCCCATCACTGGAACAAACTGGTCTACAAGAGGCAAATTATAGGACAATACAACAGCAGACTTCTGAGTTATTTAGTCACATTCTCCCTTCACAGTCCACTTCTCACATACTCCCAAGTCACAGGGAAGAGACAACTGGCAGATTGGGCTCCAATTCAGAGGCAAGAGTGCTAAGATGCAGCCTTTCACCAAGGGACCCCCACCAGGGTCCATTACTCCTCTGGGGAAAGGCTGCTTCCCCACCCCAACCCCAACAAGTCGTCCAAATGGCTCTGACAGTTCTTGCTGAGCCAGTTCTCACAGGAAAAGACTCTCTATGCTAGAGGAGCAAAAGGGAACAAGCAGTTAAGGAAAAAGGAACTCTGGAAAACCCAGAAGTCACTCTATTGACTGTGAAAATTTTTCAAGTGGCTGGTTCAATTATAAATTGCAACTATTTTTCCAGAGGGCAACCTAGTAGCTGCATGTTCTTTGTCCCCGTGATTCTGCTTCAATGAATTTCTCCTGAGGAAATTATAGAGCAAAAATACACAAGCAAAACCAATCAAAATGTGGAAACAGCTGCTAGTGGCCCATGAACAGATTAGTCAAAGACTCTCATCCATGCAAGGACAAAAAAAAAAAAAAAAAAAGAGAGAGAGAGAGAGACTTTAAAGGTAACGGTGGTGACCCCTATCCCATAAACATGTAGGAAAATGTTCAGATTTATTATTTTTTTGGGAGAAAAATCAAATTATACATTAGGACATCCAAACCCCATTCTTGTTTTTTAAAATCTTTTTTTTTTTTAATGGTCTGCCTAGTTCTTTGGAAGAAGGGAGGGTTAGAAAATAATTATAAGGGTCAGAAGCCTGGAAAGACTTAGATGAAAACGGTCCAAGTGGGCATTTCTGAGAAACTATTGTAAGAAATTTCATTTCAACTTTATGCCTTTCTATATCGTTTGATTTCTTTTTTACAAGTGCAAGCATTACTTTTATGATCGAAATAAAACAAAATTACTACTATTGGGGGAAACGAAATAATAATAACAACTTTGTTCCCGAGACCCCAGGATCGTTGGGTGGCTAAGTAGAGAATCGAGACCTCTTCCCGCCTTCGCTTCCCGGAGCGCGCTCCGGTTGAGGGTCCAGCCTAAGGGTCTCGGGCCCTGGCAGCCTGCCTCTGCTCGGACCCCTCCCCTCTGAGGACCCCCGTTACCCGCCCGATCCCCACCCGCTGCTGGGCCCCTCTAACCCCGCCCCGGCTGCCGCTCCCGCGCCTCCTCCCCGCGCACTCTGCTGTCCTGCCGCACTTCCCTAGCCTCCCGCGGGTCCCGGCTGCCGCTCCTGCCCAGCTCCCCCTGGCCTGCCCCCGGCGGCCCCGGACCCTGCGCCACCACATGGAGCCCAACGCATCGGGGAATGCTTGCACCCCGGGACTGGGGCCGGGACCCGGGCTGGGCCGGGGGCTGCGCCCTGGGCCGCATGCCAACCACTTCTCTGCTCCGGTGACCGCGCTGTTGGCCGCGCTCATGGCGCTACTGGCGCTGGCCACGGTGCTGGGCAACGCGCTGGTCGTGGTGGCCTTCGCTGTGGACCGCAGCCTGCGCTCCCGCAGCAACTTCTTCTTCCTCAACTTGGCCGTCGCGGACTTGCTGGTGGGTGAGTGTGGCCCCGGGGGCTGAGGTGCCCTGGAGGAGGTAGGAGGTATCCCAGCATTCAGACATCTCCCTGGGGAAGTGGGGCCCTGTGGGACACGGAGACAGGGCCAGAACGGGTCGCCAGGCTGTTTTCCCTCGTTCGCTCACCGCCCCGCTTCGCCCACAGGCGGCTTCTGCATCCCCCTCTACATCCCCTACATCCTGACCGGAGAGTGGAAGTTCGGGAAGGGACTGTGTAAACTGTGGCTGGTGACCGATTACCTGGTGTGCACCGCCTCGGTATTCAACATCGTCCTCATCAGCTACGACAGGTTCATCTCTGTCACCAGGGCGGTAAGTAGGGGGGAGACTTGACCTAGACCTGTGCGAGGTGGGGTGGGATGGTGGCCAGGTGGAGACTGGGTGGTTGGAGTTGCTGAAATGGTGGTCAGGAGAAACCTCCTGCATATCACTTCCATGTGTTCTCAGGACCCCACAAATCCAAAAGGAAAAAGAAAAAGAGGCCAAGACAAGATTGCAAATACTGTCTTCTGTTTTTAATACTTAAACTTGACAAAGAAGATGCAGTGCAGGGCCCCAGTGGTAGAGCACCTGTAGTTCCAACTGCTTGGAGGGCTGAAGCTGGGGCTGGTCACTTGAATCCAGGAGTTCAAGGTCAGCTTGGGCAACAGAGCAAGATCCAGGCTAACACAAACAAACAAAAAACACATACAATTTAATTGCGCCTTTCTCAGGATTTATTTTTATAATCACATGGTATAACATAGATGTGGTTATATGAATGTTGTCAGAGAATGGGATGCAAATCTTAAGTCCTGTTATGGCACCTTTATCTTTCCTCCCAGTCAGTATCCTCTTTCTGTACATAGACTCACTTTGAGTCCACACAGGCCCCTGTTCAGCTGTCTGCTCCTCCTTGGTTATCCACTTCAAATAGCAGCGCTGACACTCTCTTCCTTCTTCCCTACTATACTCAGGCTTATCGCCACCTGATATTCTATTAGTTCTGTCTGTCTCACAAACTAAGTTCCCAGAAGAGGCAGAGCTGTTTCTCAGCCCTGTGTTTCCAAAACCAGAAACAATACTAGACATATTAATATAATAAATATGTCTGATATAATTCAGCTGTGGCACACAAGCATAATCCCAGTGGCACCAGAGGCTGAGGCAGGAGGATCACAAGTTCAAAGCCAGCCTCAGCAAAAGTGAGGCCCAAAGCAACTCAATGAGACCCTGTCTCTAAATAAAATACAAAATAGGGCTGGGGATGTGACTCAGTAGTTGAGTGCCCTGAGTTCAAACCCCAGTACATATCCCCGCCAAAAAAATATCTGATTAAGTAATCCCAACTGGAGATAAGATCAAAAGTCCAAGTTCAAGGCCCAGTAGAAAAAGGATGTGGGTGCTAAAGGGGCTTCTTGCTCTCCCCAGTTAATTGTTAATGACTGTCTCCCCCAGAACAGTGCTAGGTGGAGAGGGTCCATTTGCTTCCGAGTATGGGGCTACCTCAGTGGGTTTTAAGGGCCAACAGCAACAGAATGGGTTCATGTGAGCAATCCACAAGTGTAAATTGACTCATCACAGTGCTAAATATTTAGGCTGACTCAGGAGTCAGGAGAGCTGAGTTCCAATCTTACACTTCCACAATGTGTGACCTTGAGCACATCCTTGTACCTCTAAGAGTCTGTTTTCCCATCAGAAAAGAGGGGTTAAAAGCCATTTGACTCCAATTTCTATGATGGCTAATTCATATGGTCCTTTCCTCCCTGGAAGATAAGTAGAAACTAAAGTTTACCCCCATTTTGCAGATGGGATGATAAGACTCATAAATTAATCGGCAAGGGCAGAGGTGAATATTAAATGAGACAAAAGATAGAAGTGAACAGGAGCTTTCCTTTGATCTAAAAAAAACTTTTATCTTTTATATAAGTAATCCATGCTCACTATAGAAAAATTAGAACACAGAAACAAGCAAGCTCTGGGCTTCTCAATACCTACAATGCCTCATCGTGGTCTAAGAAATCCACCCTCCATGCTTTTATCCCCTTATCTCCCAGCCCCCCATCTCCAAGTCCTCACTATGGCACCTAGGCAATTTGCTTCATTTATTGCTGTAATTTTCAATCTATTTTTGAATTGAATTGGTTTTGAGGAGGTTTCAGGTATTGGCATTTTTTAAAAATAGCTTTGGGTGGTTATAAGGCACAGCTGAGAATAAAAACCACTGGCTTTCATGATTGTTCCAGCCCAGCTCTTCCTTGTCTCCCATTCCTACTATTACTTCTTCTGTTCCCACTGTATTTGGCTAAAATAATTTCCTAAGTATAAATATTGCCCAAAGTGGCATTTTCTAACTTTCCAGGAACACATCACTCCCTTGAGATCCTCTCTTGGTAATTAGTTTCCCTTTGCTCTGAGTGCAGGGCTTGTGCATATTACAGGTATAGGAAGTGAAACTGCCTAATAGTATTAAATATTCTGCACTGACCCATATAGAAAGCCAAGTGTTTTGCTCCAGTGACACACTTCAGAAGTGTCTTCAGCGTGGCAGCGCAGTTGGGGGAAAACTTCCATCTCCCAAATCTTCAAAGCACCTTTCATTTCCCCAGTTAGCTCTCACCTTCTCATAACATTTTCTGCAAACCAAAGATCAAACTTTTTTATTTCATGCTCCTGCCTTTGCAGGTATTTTTACACCCAATGATAGTGTTAACTAATATTTAGGGGTTTATTTTAAGCCAGACACTGTTTTAAGAACTTTATCTGAATTATATTCAAGCGCTTGACATGCATTGGGTCATGAAAATCCTATAGTCTAGGGAAAAATACTGCCCGATTTTACATTTGAAGAAACTGAGACACATAGAGGTTAAGTAAGTTGCCTAGAACAAACAGCTCTCCAAGTGACAGCATTTGAATCCATGTTGGTTGACTCCAGACTCTGCTCTTGGTCATTGAGACAGAGCCACCTCCAGGAACTGCAGGGGAGACTAAATGGGTCATGAGTAAAAATGTGGAATGAGTCAGGTGGTGCATGCCTGTAATCACAGTGGCTCCAGAGGCAGAGGCAGGATTGCAACTTTGATGCCAGCCTTAGCCATTTAGCAAGATCCTGTCTCAAAATAAAAAAATAAAAAGGATACCCCTGGTTTTAATTCCCAGAAAAATACACACACACACACACACACACACACACACACACACCCATATATGTATGTCACAAACTTATGAGATTGTTTAAAAGTTGGAAAAGGAAGTACAATAGCTCAGTTGCAGAGCACTATGAATTCACCAGTGATTTCACTTATAAACATTCTGGAGGGTATTGAAGACATATGTTTCCACATGTGAGAGAGTAATACTAATGTTCAAAGAGACAGACCTTGACCATCTCCCTACAAGGAAAGCTCTTCACCTATTGCAAGGAGGCTACCTGAAGTGGCATAGTACATCTGGCTGATGCAGAAATAAAACCCCCTTATCCCCCAGACACTGGTCATGTTCACAACTAATCTTCAGCCTCACGACATCTCACTGTACCAGACTGAGTGAGTAAAGCTGCCTCACCACTCCCTCACTGGTCTCTGTTGTTTCCTTCTAGGTGACTTACAGGGCTCAGAAGAGCATGACCAGGAATGCTATCTTCAAGATGGCACTGGTGTGGGTGGCAGCATTCCTCCTCTATGGGCCTGCCATCATCAGCTGGGAGTATGTGGCCAAAAGAAGCATCCTACCCCGGGGGGAGTGCTACGCTGAGTTCTTCTACAATTGGTATTTCCTCATGACGGCCTCCATCATTGAATTCTTCACACCCTTTGTCAGTGTCACTTACTTCAACTTGAGCATCTATATCAACATTCAGAAGCGCAACTCTCTGAGGAATGACTACACTGTCCCCAGCCAAGATGGCTTGGAGATGAACTTCCAGGGAAGAAAAAAGAAACACATCATATTTTTTGTTAAACCCACTGAAAGGAGAAGCAAGAAAAGGAAAGACCAGGGCCTCTCTACCAAGCAAAACAGTCTTTCCTTGGATGTGCCTGGGACTCAAGATTTACCGCCTCTGCAGTTAGACCTCAGAACCAAAGCAGCACGGGGTCGGCAGAGCCACTACAGGCCCAGCGAAAGCATCTGCAATGCTGAAAGGCAGGCAGACCTTGCCAACACTGTGGCCAGTCGCCTCCGGCTTTCCCGGGATAAGCGATTGGCCAAGTCATTGGCCATCATTGTGTGTGTATTTGGCCTGTGCTGGGCTCCCTACACTTTGCTCATGATCATCCGAGCAGCCTGTCATGGGACGTGCATCCAGCACTCCCTCTATGAGACATCCTTCTGGCTCCTCTGGCTGAATTCCGCTATCAACCCTATTCTGTACCCACTCTGCCACGTGAGTTTCAGAAAAGCGTTCATCAAACTGCTGTGCCCTGGAAAGGCCAAGGTCCACCCTCATATGTACATGTGACAGAAATATCTCTTGTGCCAAAGCCAGGTTACCTAACCCCTACACTCCACGAAGGAGAGGCAACCACAAACACTTTCCTAAGCCACTGCTATCCACTCCACCTGGGTCTTTGCCACAAGGAAACAAGGAATCCATATAACAAGTGAAACAAGTTCCTCCAAATATAATATTTTTAAAATGTTGTTTATGGAATTGTCATCAAGGGCTTTGTTTGGGGGGCGGGTGTTTAGTTTTGCAGTCTCTAACCCAGGGCTTCATGCAAGCCAGGTAAGGCTTTGTTAATTCAAAAATCACTGTCCCGGAGTGGGATTGTAGCTCAGTGGTAGAGCGCTTGCCTAGCATGTATGAGGCACTGAGTTTGAGCTTCAGTACCACATATAAATAAATAAGTAAAACAAAGGTTAAAAAAAAATTTGTGTGTGTGTGTGGCACAAATTAAAATTTTAGTTTTATTATTACCAATCTGGATTTTTAAAAAGCTACAACATACTATTTATGTTTTTGGCATAACAAAATATTATCACTTTTTTCTTTTTTTAATTTTAATTTGTTATATATGAGAGCAGAATGCATTACACATATAGAGCACAATTTTTCATATCTCTGGTTGTACTCAAACTACAATTTTTTTAAAAAGAAATTTGCTCTCTGGATCAGCAGCATGGGGATTACCTGAGAGTTTGTTAGAATTCTCCAGCTGTGCCCCAGACCTGCTGAATCCCAGAATCTGCATTTTTAACAAGCTCCCTGATTGATCTATATGTTTAATAAAGTTTGAGAAGCATTGATCCTAGGAATGTGTAAAAGGATAAAAATGGTTAACAAAAAAAATGTTTTTGTAATATCTCCTGTGGAGTCACCCTACCTAAGGCTTAATTTTGTTAATTTTACCACATTTCCACATACTATCCTATCAATATATTTTACTTGTTGATAAGGCTAACCAGTTTAAATATGCAACTTTTGTTTGTAGTAGTATATAAGAGTATTTCATCACTTTTGTGTATATAAATAAAGACAAGACTTGAAAAAGGATAGAACGTAGTTTTACAAAATATACCAGGTTTCATAGCTTACATTTATAAAAACATACCAGATAAATGCAAATGCAAGAGATTAACTAGGAATATGACTCAGTGGTGGAGTGCTTGTCTAGCATGGACAAAGCCCTGGGTTTGATCCCTAGACCACCACCAAAACAATTTTAATTTAAAAAAAAAAAAAGTTCTCAAATGCTAGATATTATACCTAGTGGCCATGAAGCCTCCAAAGGGTTTGTTTGTTTTGGTACTGGAATTGAACCCAGTGGTGCTTTACCATTGATATATATCCCCAGTTCTTTTAACGTTTCCTCAAACATGATCCTCCTGCCTCAGCCTTCTGAGCTTCTGGAATTACAGGTATGAGCCACCATACCCAGCTTCACAATTTCTTTGTATTTGTACTTGGTTCTTTCTGATGAGTGAAAATGGATTAAAGTTACAACCTAATGCTTAGTCATAGGAAGACATTTCTGGCCTTAAGCTAATTAAACACTGTAATGTGTGGTAAAACAGTCTCTCTAGAGATTTTGGAAGCATTCGCCCAGTTTTCTTGGTACACTGCAGGTAACATACAGAAGTGAACAGCAATACGAGATCTAGACCACCCCACTTCCAGATGACTTGTTTTAAATTAACACAAGCTGGGAAGCTTGTCTTTAACATAGGTAACTGAAGTGTGCAGCAAATGTGTAGATAGTGGCACCTGAAACATGGTCTGCTGTCCATCCCCAGGGCACCCCCATAGGGCCAACCCTAGCAAACAGGAAGGCCTCCTTCTCCAGAGATTTCTCCACCCAGAATCTTTCATGGACGATATGTAGTCTGGAATTCCCATCATTAAAGAAAATTTTGTTGAAAAATCCTTTCAAATCGATTCTGCTTCATATAATTACCTTAGGTTCGCAGAGATAGCAAATGTAATGGAAAACCCCTACAAAATCAAGTTAAATCCCCTCCCATTGCCTATGATGGTTAGCTTATTCCTTATGGTCTCTCATATTTCTCAGTGGCTCTGAGAATTGCACATTAACTGATCTACAACTGCTCACCATTCTTCAAATTATTCTACCATGCCTCATCAAGTTAAATGCCTCCTTCCCTCCTCTTTTAGTTGTTTGGATAAGCTTACAATCTATGCAAAGTCATTAATRGCCAGAGTTGTGTTACAGTTCACTCCCCTAATGGCCACCAGTCTCAGGGCTTGGGGAACAATCAATCAGAAACACAAATTTCCATGTAAAGAAGCAATTGCTAATCAGGCACAGTGGCACACATATGTAATCCCAGCACCTGGGGAGGCTGAGGCTGGAGGATCTCAGCAATTTGGTGAGACTGTGTCTCTAAATAAATAAAGAAAAAGGCTGGGAATGTGGCTCAGTGGTTAAGTGTCCCTGGGTTCAATCCCAATTACCAAAAAAAAAAAAAAAGCAAGACTTTTTGCTTAGACTCTAATCATTGGTTTGCTGACTGGAGACAGGAAAAGGAGGTCAGGAAAGTGATGTCACAAGAGGCATTGCTCATCCATTCATATCATCTTCCTAGATGTGGCCTCTTGTGACTATCTCCTCATCTTGGGGATTTAATGCCATTCAGCACCAGTTCTCCTCTATTCTGTGCTTCTTTCTATCCATCTGTAATGGATTTCCCCCACATCCATTAAGGACAGGTATTTTTTTTTTTATGTAAGATGTAGTAAATATTATTAGAAAAGGGAGAAAGACATAAAATAGCAAGGTGTGGTAATACACACCCACTTCTAATTCCAGCTACCCAGGAGGCTGAGACAGGAGGATTCCAAGTTTGAGGCCAGCCCAAGCAACTTAGCAAGACCCTGTCTCAAGAAAAAAAAAAAAAAAAAAGATGGCTTATGTTGGCTGAGGATGTAGCTCAAGGATGGAGCACTTGCCCAGAATATGCAAGGCCCTGGGTTTAAACCCATAGTGCCAGAAATAAAAATTAAAAACACAAACTTTTTATACTTACACTCTACAGAGAGAAAATCATCAAAGAGCTATAAAAGTTTTTAAATGTCTATTCAATTTTTCAATATTTATCTCATTGTGCATAGGCAACTTCTATGGGTTACTCTTTTAAATGCCTGGCTCTAGCTATTATAAATAGGACGAGAGGCAATGGGAAGTCCATACAACCCTCTCCAGAACTTACCCAACCCCCAAGTCCTTCTTCAGTGCTATTCTGTCACTATGAATCTGTCTTCATACCAGACTAAAATTGTTTAATCTGTAGACCATATCATGTTCACCCTTAAATTCAGTGCCTAACTATATCTGGCATATGGTAGGTATTTCATTTTTTAAAATAAAGAAACATATAAATTAAAAATATTATCAATGCTTTGTTTTTTTTTTCCTTCTTTAAATCTGGTCTCTTTATGTCAACCCAGAAAATCAAAGTTTATACCCTATACTGACATTATTTTAACTTTGACCCATCTTTTCCAACTGATTTCAAATTCAGCTATTGAATTATGTCTGTTTTACCTTTCCAGATACATTACAATGAAGATACAAGTAAAATGGACACATCTATCCCTAATTCACAGTCCCTATTATACAGTGTTAATTAATTTAATTTACAGTATGCAATGTAATTAATACTGTAATTTAACACTGTAAATTAATACTGCAAAGAACAGAAAAGGTTTGCTGGACCAAGATGTACTACAGGAAGGCTTAACATAGTTGTTAACTTCTAATTTTATAATTTAGTACACATTTGTTCTGATTTGTAAAATCAAACAAGTTCTAAACATCTGGCAATGGGAGGGCAGATGGTAAGGTGCTGAATGTTGTGGTAAGTTGAAAATCTTTATCAATTAATTGCAATGTCTCCCTTTAAGAGGTAGAGCTTAATTCCCTTTATCCTCTAGTATTGCCTTAATGGCCTTCATAAGGCAAAAATGACAACATGTCATTTCAGAGATTAGATCATAAAAGGACACTGTCATTTCCTCCTTGCTCTTTCTCTATGGAATCACTCTGGGAAGGCCAGCCACCACTTATAAAGACATTGAAGCTGCCCTATGGAAAAGCCCAAAATGAGAGGAAATGAAGCTTCTATCAACCATGTSAGTGAATGAAGTAAAAGAGCTTAGAAATCAGACTTTATCAAACCTTTGGATGGCAGCCACAGTCAAAATCTTGATGGTAACCTTATAAGACACCTTGATCCAGGACCACCAGCTAAGCTGCTTCTAAATTCCTGATACTGAGAACTATGAGATAAATATTTGTTGTTTGAAGACACTAGGTTTAGGGAAAATTGTTACAAAGTAGATAGCTAATACATGTGAAGAGCCTTTGGGGAGTTACATGACTCTTGGTGCCTTAGGAAAAGCAGGGTAAGGCTGGGGAAAAGGTTCAGCAGGAACACAAATGAAAGAGTACAAGGTGCCTTGCTCCATAATTTCGTAAGCCAGAGCTCATTGTAAACATGAGATGTATGAAACTCCACAGGCATTCTACTAGTTCTTTTAATCAATCAAGACTGTAAAAAGGAAAAAAAAGATACAAGAATTGTTAATAGCAATTTTATTGTTTCACTGGTGCAAAAAAAATCATAATTGTGATGCACTTCCCATTAAATTTACAATAATGAAGGTTATACATAAATTATACAGATCGAAAATTTTCTATTTTATACTATTCAAAACCAAATTATTTTGATAAATATATCCAGAGGACAACATAGGTTCTTAATGGATGGCTGAGTCCAAATATGCAAAATATAGCTTCTGGTTTTGACCATGGTGCTTTAAAATTCTCAAAACATGCATTAATATATTCTAGTTTTAGGGAAAATATTACACATGGCCTTGCATTTAGGGGAAAGCCCAAGCTGAATTACACATACAGTATTCCTTCTAAATTAATCTCAAATTGGACTAGAGAACAAAGAGACAGATACTTTTGGGTTAGTACTCCCAGTAATGAAGAA